TTTTGAGACGAAACCTTGCTCTGTCACCCAGGCTGGAGTGCAATGGTATGATCTCAGCTCACTGCAATCTCCGCCTTCTGGGTTTAAGTGATTCTCCCTGCCTCAGCCTCCTGAGTAGCTGGGATTACAGGTGCCCACCATCACGCCCAGCTATTTTTTGTATTTTTAGTAGAGATGAGGTTTCACCATGTTGGCTAGGCTGGTCTCAAACTCCTGACCTCAGGTGATCCACCTGCCTCAGCCACCCAACGTGTTGGCATTACAGGCGTGAACTACCACACCTGGCCAAGACAACATTCTACAGTGCATAGGATACTCCCCCCAAGACACGAATGATCCAAGCCCAAATGCCACTAGAGCTAAAAGGTGGAGAAAATCTGCAGTAGCCACAGGTCACTACTGAGTACTTCTGATGCGGCTACTGGAACTGGGAAACTAAACTTTTAATTTTCTTTTACTTTAAATGTCAATTTTAGAACAAAAAGTTTAAAAAACTAAAACTAAGGAAAAGTCAAATTTAAATGTAATTAGCCATGAGTGTCTTACACAGCTAGAGCAAACGTGCATAAACATAAAAATAAAGGTCTTGTTTCCCAAGTATTTCCACTGAAAGCAATGAAGTATCTCCAAGGAAAAGAGAGATTCTGAAATTAGCATTGGAAAATAATAAGCAGAAATAAAGGCATGAAAGTGAAGGTCATGAAGCTTTGGGACAAGTGTCCAGACAACTCACTCTTGCAGGGTCTCCACCCCCTTTTCTTTGTACTGCAGCTCCTGCTTCATCTGGGTCAGCTCTCGTTTTAATCTGGAAAGCTAAAGACAAATCATATTTTTTTTTCCAAAAACCAGCTGTGAAGAATGATTTCTACAGTTGTTATTAGCACTGCCATCTGACTTTCTACTCAGCTTGCAGTTCAGGGAATCATCTAGTCTCACTATGAACTTCCATTCACATGCATAAACAGCCTTTCTAGAACAGCTGCTGTGCTTAGATACAAAAATCCCAGATGACTGACAGGCTCTTACGCAAGTGGGGAACCAGCATCTATTTGCATTTTCAAGGTTTACACATTACAATATGCAAATTTGCTAAGACATTCTTCAACTTTCCTTCTACCTACTCCTCTCAGACCCCATACATGAAACTGTGTCTAGAAGCATGCTCTCTGACTACCTGAAACTCAATGGCTCCTGGAGTGCTTCTTGAAACAGGTCCTGGGACTTGCTCCAGGCCCACGTCAAACTCAGGGGCTAGGCCTGGAAGCTCGTACTTGGAACAAGCTACCAGGTATTTTTCTTAGCTGTGCTAAAATTTGAGGACCACTGCACTAAAAGATACACCCTGATTCAGGGAATGACACATCAAGAGAGGAGCAGACTTCATTGCCAAGATGTTTCTTGTGCTTTTTCCCAAATGCAACAAAACTGTTCCCCTTCCCAGACAACCAAGAAAAGGGTCTGAAGAGATGAAACATGGTAATTCAGGTGTCACCAGGGAAAGAGTGTCAGAACCCGACCGGTCTAACACTGCTACAGGAGCAATCCCTCCAGGAGGAGTCAACCAGAGGACACCAGCAGCACCCTAGGCTGCAAGGGCCCAGGCTTCCATCCACCTGGTTGTAAAAACATGGGTTTTACTCACCCTATCCCGACGACTTGCTATTTCTGCTTTAATTTGGTGTGGGTCATACTTTGTATTTGTTGAATATCCAGAGAATGCTAAATAGAAAGAAAATATTTTATTTTATAATGGGTCCTTCAAAATACATACACATAAGGAACTTCTGCTTCACGGCATTAAATAATTCTAAATCTCAGCTTTACGAGTGGGCACTGGCTCCTAAAGAACTGACATTTAACATCCTCAAATCTTCCTGATGTTTGATATTTGTATCAGGACTTTCTATAGGATCTCATATAATAAAATATATGGCTATAGGTCAGTCAAAAGTCTGTTTAGTTCTACCATAAAACGACTAGAGTTAAATACCATATAGACATGGGAGAAGAGGGAAAGAGGTATGATTATGATGTAGGAAACTATACTTAATATGTGAATAGTACATGCAATATGAACCTATTTTTACTTTCTTTTAAAACACATACACAGAAATCACTAGAAAGATAGAACGAAAAAGTTAACTGCAGTGATTCTCAGTAGCTGCATTAAAGATTATTTTATTTTTATTTTCTTCACACCTATATTCTCCAGATAAACAATTTTTCACGCAAGAAAGGATAAAACATTAGAAATTTGTAAAATAAAAAAGACAGATTTCTGGTAATAAGTCAGCATCTGGCTTGAGAAAAAGATGGGCCCCCAAGTTGTCTGTCCCACAGAAACCAAAGTGAAACACTCACGCTTTTACTCTAATAACTTGCTTTGATGAATGTTTAGCTAAAAGACATCATATAGCTCAATGCTTTCCTAAACAATGCAGTGTACATGATTTAAAGTCTTTTTACAGACACGGCATCATTATCATGAGTAACCAATACCTAGGGATGAATAAGAGCCACAGAGCTGTTTACAAGTTAGGCACAGTCAGCAAATTTCTGTGCACAGAGAGATGCAAGCTTTTTCCCGTGTTACGGCAGCTGGAGCAGCGAGTGGCTATTCCTAATTTCTAACACCTCATCCACTACCCTGTGGTGCTTTTTCCTGATGCTTCTGCCTCCTCTCTTCAGGTTTCTGAAGCCATGGGCTCTGTATCACTACTGCGTGGCTTCCCTTCTTTTGCTTAGCTGGTGGAATGATGGTCTGTCTTAATCTGTGAACCACCCCACTCTGGTGCCATCTGCCTCCCAGTTAACATTAACATCACCTGCTCAGAAGACACATCTGCAGGGACAGAGTCCTTTCTTTAACTCCTTTGATGTGAGAACCAAAGGCTGGCTGTCATTCAAATAACTTAAGTGCCAACAACAAGAAAACAATTCAAAATCATTTGTGGACTATATACTGCAAAGGATGGCTCAACACCAAGTAGCTTCAACAGCACAATTACTTCAAACCTCAATTAGAACCACATCCAAAGTTCATTTGAGCAGTTGGATCTCCTATCTTAATAATAGTTCCATGGAAAATCCCTAAGTCCCATTCAGTCAGAATTTCAAACAACTGAATCTACTGGAAATAAACAACTGGAGAAGCTAAATGTTTGTCAACTTGATCTCCAATTTTCTTAGACTCATGATCTCTCAAAGACATGGAGTAAAACATTTTACAAACAATTCTTTTGTAGACAACACTGCCTATTTCCAAATCCTACATTTTTCATCTTGCCTGACTCTTTGGTTTCATTTAAGATCAGTAATGAAAGTAACATCTCCAACAATGCCCTCAAAAGACAGAAATAATTTATAGGAAAATCTCTACATTAAACTCCTGGGACTTTAAGTTTCCCAGATCTGAGCTAAAAGGCCTTTCACTTGGGATAGAGATAATATGCAAATGAGGCTATGAGGCTAGGGCTTGCTGAATCCTGGCTTACAACACTACAACACGTGTCAACTTGTCAACTTGCAGTGGGAGGAACACAACGCCAAGAGTTATCACCTGGGATCTTTCCCATTAAGGGTAGAAAGTAACCCTACCACCAAAGTTCAACAAAGTTCACTGCAATGTTAAACATCAGTACCAGCCGGGTGCGGTGGCTCAGCACTTTGGGAGGCTGAGACAGGCAGATCACAAGGTCAAAAGATGAAGAGACTTGAAATACACAGGAGAGGTGTCTTGGATACTGTTGGACATCTAAACAGCAACCTTCCCCCATTTCTCCTTCCTAAGTACCAGAACCCTGGAGGTGTTGGGTACCCACCTCTCCCCAAGAGACTCAGCCCAGCCTGTACCCACTCCTAGAGGGGGAAAATGACAAGCCAATAACACCACTGAGCCACTGAATCCACCTATGGGGAATCCCACCCCACCTCCAGAGGACTCCACTATGTGACAATGAATTTCCTTATTGTCCAGGCCCGTGAGAGTTAGTCTTGTTTGTAGCTGAAACCATCATAAATGACAGAATACCTTTTAATTACATGGATCTCATTCATGTTTACTTTTGCTATGATCTCTATAAAATTATAAAATTCCAGGACTAGGATAAGGGAAAAGTCTACTCAAGTACTTAACATGGTGAATACATTTTATCTTCAAATGCTAAGCATGGTTGTGAACACTGGTATAACTTTTAACAATATAATTCAATTTATAAATAAAATTCTCAGTTCCTCAGATCTCACAATAAGTCTATGAGAACCATTTACAGAGTCTAAGGAACAGCTCAGGACTCCAGACCCCATAACAGCATGCCCTACACAATTTTTTTTTTCTTTTGGAGACAGGCCAGAGCACAGTGGCATGATCTCAGCTCATTGCAACCTCCACCTCCTGGGTTCAAACAATTCTCCTGCCTCAGCCTCCCGAACAGCTACTGCCACCACCCAGCTAATTTTTTGTATTTTAGTAGAGATGGGGTTTTGTCATGTTAGCCAGTGTGGTATCGAACTCCAGACCTCAAGTTATCCACCCGCCTCGGCCTCCCAACATGCTGGGATTACAGGCATAAGACACCGCAATTGGCCTTCCACAACATTTATAAAAAGGAATATCTTCCTCTATTAAAACGTGTCTCCAATCTCCAAGTTTATGATAAAGACCAGAGTTTCACCTCTGAAGCTTTCTCCTCTCTTGAAGAGTTGAGTGGATGGAGCTATTAAATAGCATATGGAGTCTGCTCAGGCATATAAAATTGCCTCAGATAATATAATAACAAGGTTATAGCCTAGCTGGACCACAGCAATGTAAATTATTATACCTTGCTATTATAGGATGCCTTTCACATTTATTTAATCTATTCTCATAAAATCTTTGTGAAGGTGAAATGATACTTACGTTTCCTTGCCCATTTTGTAGATTAAAAGACTCGGTTTGTAGTGACTTGATCTATAATAGATTATGCCATCATTCATAATAGGCTTTGTGTCTAGAATTTGGGCTCCTGTGGGTCAGATGCCAAAGATCCTTTAATTGGGCTAGCTTTCCCAGAAGACATGGTCCTCCAGCTCCACAATGCCCACCACCCAATAGGTGAACTTGACCTGCGTATTTAGCACTCAAAATGCTAAATACTGTTGGACATCTAAACAGCAACCTTCCCCCATTTCTCCAGTACTTAACTCTCAAACCCCAGCACTTAACTCTCGATTTCAGTTTTACAGATTACTGAAAGGGTAAATGCATGTGTCCATGTGTCTATCTGTCTGTGTCTCTCTTATGTACAGGAATCCTCTGAGCTATGTGGAACCTAAGGTCACCCCAGGGAGAAGACATTCTTGAAAAGACCCTTCTTCAAAGAGATTCTCTAGGCCAGGTTGCTCCTTAGGACCAGGTGTAGGCCTCCAGGGATCAGCATTGTCAGGAGTTGCTCAAGGGGGCCAAGAATGACTCTGGGTGAAAGGCTGACAAGCTCTGCTAGGTTCCAGGTTGACAGTACTATTTACCAGAAAGGCAGATGGAGAAATGCGCAAGGCCATCAAAGTGGGCAGGATGGGTTTTTTTTTTTTTAAAGGCAATATAAGCAAAGGACCAAATACAATCAAGTAAGGCCACCTGGAGGTGATCTACAGAAGTAACCCAAGATACCACCAAATCCTAACCAAGAATTCTCTCTCCAGGACAGACTAGGGGATTATTTCTCAGGAAACACATGTGCTCTGCTGCAACCTTCAAAATCAAGCTTGCCAACTAATACATGGGAAAAATGCTCCATGATCCCTTTTCCTCCTGCCCGCTCCAACATGCTTGTGTGGAGGAAAACAAAAGTTGAATGGGAATGGACTGCCTACAGCCCTTTTCCTAACCAAGACAGCAAATGAGAAATCCTTCAACAGTGAGAACACCAATGAGGCTGGGTGTGGTGGCTCACATCTGTAATCCCAACACTTTGGGAGGTGCAGGCAGGCAGATTCCTTGAGTCCAGGAGTCTGAGACCAGCCTGGGCAACATGGCAAAACCCCATCACTACAAAAAGTACAAAAATTAGCCAGGTATGGTGGCGCGAGTCTGGACTTTCAGCTACTAGAGAGGCTGAGGTAGAAGAATCACCTGAGCCCAGGAGGTTGAAGCTGCAGTGAGCGGAGATCACACTACCACACTCCAGCCTGGGCAACAAAGCGAGACCCTGTCTCAAAAAAAAAAAAAAAAAAAAAAAAAAAAAAAAAAAAAAAAGAGAGAGAACCAATGGAAGAAGATAGTCATTGTGAGACAGGCTTGACGCCTCAGAAAGAATGCCAGCAGGACTGATGGCTGATAAGGTCAAGCTTCACCACCACCTAATCCAAGAATTCAGGGTGGGTCAGCACTTTCTCACCAGAGATAAGGCTGACTCTTTGCCAGCCACCCAGAAAGACTTTTCGATGTAGACTCTGAGTAGCTCCTAGGAACTAGGATAGTAAACAAAGTCAAATTCCTGCTGCTACAAGGGCCATTCACACTCCATCTAGCCCAGTGGATTTCAACCCTGGGGATCACCTGGGAAGCTTTAAAAAAAAAAAAAAAATGCCTGGTCCCACCCAAGGCCAGTTCTATCAAAATCTCTTGGGGTGAGGTCCAAGCAGCAAGTTTTTAAAGATTCTAGCTTGTAGCCAGGGCTGAGAACTATACATGTAGACCGGGGATTGGCAAACTTTTTCTCTAATGGTCTAGAGGGTAAATA